TTGGCCATGCTTTTTGTTTATTCCTTCCCTAGGTGGGATGAGCGTTTCGAAGTTTCAGAATAATACTGTGTTTCCCTCTTACTGCAATTTTGAAATAGAATCTCATCGATTGCGCTGTTTTTGAACTTGGGCTTAGCTAGTTAAAATAAATGATTTTTTTTTTTTTTTTTAAGTATACTTTTAGATGGTTCAAAAGGGTGAATCTCCATCCCACCCTTGCCACTTTGTCATCCATTTCTTCTTCTGGTGGCCACTATTATACTATTTTTTGGGGGTATATCTTTCCAGAGCTATACTTTGCGTATATATTTAGCTGTATTCTTTTTTTCCGTTCCTGCCCACACAAATGATGATGCAGTATATACTTCTGTACCATGCCTCTCTTATTTAACAAAATATCTTAAAGACTATTCCATAGCTGTACGTCAAGAACTTCCTCGTTATTTTCTGGCTGTTTAATTTTAGCCAGTTCCCTAATGACGGACATATTATTAGTTCTTACCTTTTCAGGTTATTGTTGTTGTCGTTAGTTGCTGTCGAGTCAGTTTTGACTCACGGCTACTGCATGCCTGTCAGAGTAGAACTGCTCCGTAGGGTTTCCAAAGCTTTGACCTTTCAGAAGCAGATCACCAGGCCTGTCTTCAGAGTGCCTCAGGGTGGGTACCTTTCACCTCAGGGTGCCAACCTTTTAGCTAGTAGTTGGCTGCCTGTTTTCACTACTCAGTGACTCCTTTTTCGTATTATAGACAGTCTTTATAGTCAGTAACCTTTTGCATAGGAAATTTGACACTTGTGTGAGTGTATCTGAGGAAAAATTTCTGTAAGTGGAATCACCAGATCAAAAGTTATATACATTTGTAATTTTTATTGATTTTGCCAGATTGCTCTTTCTGAGTTGTACCAGTTTATGCGACCACTAGCAATGCAGGAGAGCTTCTGTTCTCTACCCTCAAAACATGATGTTATCTTACTTTTCTCTGATGTTTGGTGATCTCAGTAAAAAAAGTGGTATTTGAGTGTAGTTTTATTTTGCACCTTTCTTTTGAATGAAGTTTAATGTCTTCTGATCTATTTAAACTATTTTCTGTAAACTGAGATTTGCCTCTTTTTTGTTCTAAGTTTTTTTTTTTTTAAGTCATTTGCTGGAACTCTTTATTAGGCAAGTTAGACCTTTAATGGGTTCTGAATTAAACAAAAACTGATATTGTGGTAGAAATTGGTTCGTTTCTAATTGAATTAAAAAACATTGCAGTGACCACTGGAATTGGAGGACAGAGTTGTATATTGGATAACTTGTCTGCTGGAGTTTCTTTCATAGAAACTTCCTAGACACATCCAAACACCTTGAGGGACTGAGTTACTGGGGCTGAGAGCCGGGGACTATGGTCTTGGGGGGCATCTAGGTCAATTGGCATAATATAGTTCATAAAGAAAATGTTCCACATCCTGCTTTGGTGAATAGCATCTGGGGTCTTAAAAGCTTGCAAGCGGCCATCTAAGATACATCTATTGGTCCCATCCCGTCTGGAGTGAAGGATAATGAAGAAAACCAAAGCTTCAAAGAAAATATTAGTCCAGAGGACTAATGGACCACATGAAGCACAGCCTCTACCAGCCTGAGCCGAGAAGAACTAGGTGGTGCCTGGCTGCCACCACTGACCACTCTGACAGGGATCAAAATAGAGGGTCCCGGGTAGGGTGGGAGGAAAATGTAGAACAAAATGCAAATTCACAAAAAAAGACAACACTTAGTGGTATGAGGGTGGCTGGAGGAACCCCTGAGACAGTGACGCCTGGACACCCTGCTAACTCAGAACTGAAGCTCCACCTTTCAGCCAAAGGTTAGACAGGACTATAAAACAAATGGAAACCCTAGTGGCATAGTGGTTAAGAGCTACGGCTGCTAACCAAAAAGTTGGCAGTTCAAATCCACTAGGCACTCCTTGAGACCGTATGGGGCAGTTCTACTTTGTCCTATAGGATTGCTATGAGTTGGAATCGACCCAATGGCAATGGGTTTTTTTTTTTTTTTTAATAAAACAGCATATGTGAGGAATGTGCTTCTTAGTTCCATCAAGTATATGAGAGCAAATGGGCAACACCTTCCCGACAGCAAAGATGAGAAGGCAGGAAGGGACAGGAAAACTGGATGAGTGGACACTGAGAACCCAGTGTGGAAAGCGAAAGGGGGAAGAGTGCTGACACGTTGCGGGGATTGCAAGTAATGTCACAAAGCAATTTGTGTACAAATTTTTTGAATGAAAAACTAATTTGCCTTGTAAACTTTCACCTAAAACACAATAAAATTTAAAAAAATAAAGAATGAATAAAAAAAAGAAAAATACAAAACATTGCAGTGACCATTGGGGAGGACAGAGTTGTATATTGGATAACTTGTCCACTTGAGTTTCTTTCCCAGAGCCTTGGGACCTGCAGTTTTGGAGGGGTTTGTTTATACTGTTTGCTAAATAAATAAGTTAAATATAGTTTATGAGGCCAGTAGATTGCCCAAGAAGTAGCATATTAATTTATCTTCCACATTTTATTTCTTCTTAGACAAGCTTGAGAAGCAGTGTTTTTAAATCTCTGATACATTAAAATGCCTATTGACATCAAACCTTATTAATTATAAAGTGTAGATGTTATAATTTCTTATTTATTCACATTAAATATAGATGTTATAATTGCTTCTTTATGAAAATATACATCTGATGACTGGTGAGTCAGAGTAGCTTGAAATCTAATAACCTGCGTATACTATTTGGATATCTTTTCATTTTAACTGAAGCTCTTGATTTTCCAAAGCCTGAGTTTTCATTCTACTTACGTTTCTGCTCTTCGACTAGTGGGCTCAAGCTCATTTCCTGGTTGGGTCAGCGGTGGTGGCATGAATTGGCTGGTAGATGAAACACTAATCATTTGGAAGATGAAATGTTAATCATTTAAATTCCACTTCAGCTGATTCATGAATAGATAATAGCCTATCTTAGAGAAATATTGAGAGCAATAAATAAATAAAGGAAATTGAAGTATTTGCCCATAAATAGTTACATAATGAAATAAAATAATGGACTCTTTTAAACCAGGAATTAAGGGAAGTTAAAGGAGCGCTGATAGCGTGGTGGTTAAGCGCTCAGCTGCTTACTGTAAGGTTGGTGGTTCGAACCTACCCAGTGGCTCTGTGGGAGAAAGACCTAGCGATCTGCTCCCATAAAGATTACTGCCTAGAAAATCCTACGGGGCAGTTCTGCTCTGCCACATGGGATCACCCCGATTTGGAAATTGACTTGACAGCACCTAACAACAGCAACAACGAGGGAAGTTAAAATACTTCACTGCAGTGCTTCTCAATCTCTGGTAAAGGATAAACTTTAAAAACTTTTCTATTCATTGTGGACCAATACTTTTGTAAAATGCAAAAAAAAAAAAAAAAAAAAACAAAAAAACTGAGAAACAAAATTGTAACAGACAAGAATGAAAGCTCATATTATTGTTAGGTGTAGCAGATAAAATTATTTTAATAAATATGAACAAAACATGAGGAAATTGAAAAGAATTATAGAAACTGCACACACTGCTTATTGAAAATGTGCATATTAATAATAAAACAATCTCTTGTGGACTGGTAATAAACACTGGTCTGCAGACCACGTTTTGAGTCGTAGTGCTTTTTTTGGACTAGGCAGCCAGCTAAGTCACACTTTATGTTTTATATTGGAAAAGAAAAAAATTCCCTTCCTTTCCCATTTCTCAATTTAAAATAAGGTGGAGGTTTTCCCTAACAGTAAAATCAAGTTCACACATAACAGTGTCATTCTGGGTGTTTAAGAAGTTTCAGCCACTTCACTCTTGGATTTTCTTTAAATTTTGTCTTTCGATTTCTAAGTGATTGCTTTCTCTGTAATCTGAAATGTGTTCTGCATAGTTAATGTTACATACCAAAGATTGCTAGAAGTTTGTGAACGGGTAATAGTGAGAAAAGTTAGAAACTTTGTAGCATAAGTTGTTTCGGATTTGTTATATTTAATTTTATATCTCATTATTTATCTGTTGAGAACCTCAGAATTAATGCTTTTTATGAAAATTGATCACTATTTCCAGAAATGTTATTTTAATTTCTGGGTTTAGTCATATAATTTTGTTAGCATTTGTGTTTTACGATTGAACTGTCAAGCGTTAATTTGATTTTTTAAGAGGTTCTTCCCAAGCAAATGTCAATCTGTTCTAGTTGTTATCTCAAGGCTCTGTGATATTGCCAGCACCACTTGTGCTCCTGGAATGATCCAGAGATTATTAGCATTTGGTTTGGAGGGAGTAGAAAGTGATATTTAAATTATATTGAGGAATATTTCAAGGTAGGTAAAGAAAATACCTTTGTACTCAGTGTACATTCTTTTGTTTTACAACAGTTCTTTTGTTTGTATGACTTCAAGCAAATATTATCACTGGACAAAACTAAAAAACCAAACCCACTGCCGTCGAGTTGATCCCAACTCATAGCGACCCCGTTGGGTTTCAAAGGCTGTAAATCTCTACGGAAGTGGACAGAGATATTTAAATTCTGATTTAAAAAAGTTCTTTGTAGCAGCCAAATAAATAACTTTAAAAATAAATTTTTTATTTTTATTTTTATTGTACGTCAGGTGAACGCTTACAGAACAAATAGTTTCTCATGAAACAGTAGTACACATATTGTTTTATGAC